TGGTTTGGTAGTACTCAGCTCAATTCTTGCAAGAGATATGGTCAAAATAGGATTCAGTTTTTGATATTGTTTTAGATTTTGTTTTTGTATAGGTTTGCTGTAGTTTTACACTTTGACAAATTATATTGTACAATTTGAAAATTAGTTGAAACATTATATTTAATTGAATTGTTGATCTGGTGCTGCTGGACTGCTGTTCTGGTTCTGTTTCTATGTTGTCTGTTGTTGTGGTTCGACATTTCAATTTATAGGTTTGGAATAGTTTTGAATATACAGACAAAATATTTTTTTTTTAAAAAGGACACAATCTATGTCGGTTAATATAAGTACTGACATAGAACTCAATAACCACGTCGATTAAGTCACGTAAATTGACATGGATTATATACCTTCTATGTCATTATCGTATTACAACCGACATAGTATGTTTACCCTTCCACGTCAGCGGTAACTGCAACCGACATAGAAACCCTTTTCTACGTTGGGTATGTAATCGACGCTAATAACCATAAATTCTACGTCCCTTTAAAGTTACTGGTATACTATAATTGACGAAAAGGGCAATGAATTAACAACGTAAATAATATTTCTTGCAATAGTGTCCTTATAAATAAGTATATTGTCTATCTTTTTGTGGCATCATTGGGTATTATCAGACATTTCTTTGAAATTTTGGCTACATCAAGTTTTTGAAACCATTAGGTTTGGATTAATCCGAATGTCTAACCACATGGGTGCAAAGCTATTTTAATTAAGGAGATTTTTTTAATATACAAGGGACTACTTGAAAAGAAACCACTACTAAAAAAAAAAGCTATATATAGTTGTCATCAAAAAAATTGCTATATATAGTTGAGGCAGGTTTCAAAAAAAGAGATTATATATAGCGGTTCTTTCTAAATAACTGTTGTATAGTTAGCGATTCTTTTTAAATAAATACTGTATAGTCACTATAGAACGATTATTTAAAAAGAACAACTATATAGTTTTTTTGACTCAAAAAACTTTTAAAATATGCGCATCTTATATAATGCACAAATTGATGATATTATTATATCTAAACTATTGTTTTTTCTTATCCCGTGGCACACATACTTTTTTCTCTCTCATTGTCATTTTCTAAATTCGATTTCATCCCTTACACTTTGCTTTCATGTCACTCAACTCTCTCTCTCTCTCTCTCTCTCTCTCTCTCTCACATACATGCAGCCTCACTCCTTCACTCCACACTCAACCCTCTCTGTTACTTAAGCATCTCTCTTACTCCAAACTTTGAATTTTCATTATCAACATTCATACTATCAACTCCGACCAAGGTCTCTTACATGATGTACGTTCCTTCTCCTCCAGTCTATGTGCATGCACAATGCCATGCTACCTCGTCTAGTCTGTGTGGTACCCAAATTCGTTGTCCCTGATTATATATTGCTAAATGGAAGGCTAGTGTTCTAGATTTATGACCACGATTTGTAATTTTTCATTTCATATATGTGGCTTTTCAGATTTGTGTGGTATTAATTTGAGTTCATTTTTTTTTTTTGAGAATGTTTTTTTGATTTTCTAGATCTATAGTTTTTGTCTTTTATTTTGCATTTAAATTGTTAAATAAAAAACCTTAGCATCAACTATTGTTAATTTCAGATTTGGATATTATCTTTACTACTCTAATGTTTTTTTTCCTATTTTTTCATTTTACTTTGCTCAAGAATTTAAGTGAAAAAAACTAAAAAATAAATTATAATAGATAGGTTGCTAGAAATGCTACCTCTATTAAAAAAAAATGCTTGGCAACTATACAACAATTAAAAACTACTATATATTGGATCAAAAAATATATAGCACTAGAATATATAGTGGTTAAAAACCGCTGTGTGTAGCAAAAAATAACTGCTATATATAACCTTTGTTGTAGCAGTGAACAAACAGTTCCGAGCTACATTTGTATCAATTACAGTTAATGTTTTATTTTAAATTTTAAGTTTGAAATTTTGCATTTTAAATCACAATAGAACTTCTAGAAGGGATTCTTTACTGCAATTTTCGAAACCACAACTAAATCTTGAAGTTCATGAGTACACACATTTTATCATTTAGTTGTAGCCTATGACGGCCATGGTTTAAATAGTGAGATTTCATGCAAGTATGAGAAATTTTTTGATATATTTTTGTTTGATTATGACTACTTAGGCTACATTTGGCATAACGAAAGCATAATTACAATATGAAAAGTAATGGAATTAGATTTAAAAAAAACGTTTGACATGCAAAAATAGAATCGTTGCATAATTTTTATAATTGTCACCGCCCAAAATCATCTTAGCTTCTTTACAAATCAGAACCATTTGTCTTCAAACAAAATCTGGTCATCATCATGAACAACAATTTCAAACAATTGGATCCCAACATATAATCAAAAATTTTGGACAATTCGATCTCACAAAAAGAAGTTTCCTATTAATTGTGGCTTTGGTCTTGATTGAAGCGTATTAATCGAATAAGCTTCTTAGGGGATAAGAAGGAGATCATCATAAGGTGGATGAGGAGATGAGCTTCAATGTATTAGAGATAAAGAAGCCCAACATCTAGTAATTAGAAAATGGATTAGGAATATATATATATATATATATATATATAAAGTTTGGGATACATCTCACTAAATGACTTAAGTATTTTGATAAAGTAAATTATCCTCAAGTATATTTTTTTGTTTACTCACAGGTGTCCTCATAATGGAGGCAATCTTTTCAAGATATGTTTGAACACTAAATATGGATATATTTTTTAGTGAAGATTAGAATATTAGTTCACCACATTATAAGAGATTAGCTCCTTCCGCTAAACTTAATCTCCGTTAGTCCTCAGGCATAATTAATATAAAGAACTTAACACATATGGATGTTATATGTGCTTGAAACCGGTTAGTCTTGGTCAAAAACCATGTTTTGATCAAAACAATGTGAGAGTAGCTTTGACTTAAACGTTACAGTACAAAAGCGTGTTTCAAAGGGTGAGATTTCCAAAAGGCAAAATGGGAGAAAAAATCAATTCCATGGACCCTAAAATGAAATTGGATCTCTTCAAAAGTGTAAAATAGGAATGTTTTAGCTAGGAAAAGAAAACTCTAGTGCATCAAAATCTGAAGTTGAGGATTTTATTACCAAAATCCAAATATTGCCTTAGTCTTTTTCTTACTTTTGCGTTTAATCAAAGATTATAATTTTTTTATTTTATCATCTAATATCTTGAGAAGTTTGGAAGTATTACCACTACTCATTTAGAATTAATATGAACTCTAGCTATGTGGAACTATTATTACTAATGACAACTTCAAGAATACTTCGAGGATGCCTTTAAGCATTTTTATTATTTATTGCGACTACATATTCTTGTATTCAAACTCAAGATTTTTAGGATAAACTAATTCAACTCTTTCAACTAGTTGATAAAAACTATGGCTTGGATAAGGTTTACAACTTGAACAATATTTATAATAAAATATATAGGGTTAAAGGGCAAATTTGCCTTAGATGTTTTTTGCCAAGTACAATTGGTATCTTTAACTTTTGATTAGTGCAATATTATCATGAAAGTTTAAAAAATGATGCAATATTGCCCTACTATAAGATTTGACCAATTTTGACTATTATTTTAACTGTCAAAGGCGCAATTTTCTCTTGAAAGTTTGTCTGCAAGAGTAATCGGTATTCTAAACTTTTTATTGTAGCAATTTTTTAAGTGATCAACTTTCAAATAAAAAAGGATCTAATAGCTTGTTATAACCCAAAATTAGAAGACTTTTTGTTGAATTATATTGAACATCTCTAAGTCAAAATTCATATTAGTCTTTCTTGCCCACAAGCATGTCTAAACAAGTGTCTATTTAAGCCTATGCAAATCGAGACCTATTCATGGGAAAAATAAGGGCATGTCTGAACTTCAAGTGAGAGTTTGTGGAGTGTTTAAGGTAGAGTTGATTTTGTATCAAAACAACCTTGGGTATGACCTCTTCTCAAAATCTAGAAATATGAACCATAATTTTTAACATTCATATAATGGGTCATTAGATTTTTATTCTAATTTAAATATTGATAACCTAAAAAATTGCATTAATAAAAAGTTTATAATATTAGTTGCTCATTTAGAAAAAAATTTGACATAAAATTGCTTTTTAACCTGATCAAGTTAGAATTTTCAACTAACAGTCAATGTTAATCAAATGTTATTATAAAGCAAAATCACATAATTTTTGAAACTTCCTAGGTAATATTGCATCAATCAAAAGCTAAGAATATCAGTTGCACTTGCAAAAAACTTTTAGGGCAAAGTTGCTTTTTAACCCAAAAATATATTGCCCCTCAAAATAAGGTATTCATATTAAACTTGTTACATTTATGTGCACTGAATTATCGAAGTAATTTTTTTTTTTTTTAAATGGATAAGCTCAAGCTAATTAGATAGTACTGTATGTTGTGTCATCTACCCCAGAAGATGCCTCCCATGACAACAGTCACCAAGGTAACTGCTACTGCAATTTCAAACTATGAATGAATGAGTATTAATTTTAATTAATTTTCTCCAACAACCCCCAATTTTATTTATTTTAATTAGGTAAGAAATACTAATCTGAGATACAATACTTCCTATTCTGAACATTTCACACTTTCCATGCTTTTTATGTAACGTTACATTCTCATTCAGTCAAATGTATCTTACCTGTTTGGGAATGATGATATGCAGCGTATGGAAAAAAAAAATTATTAAATTTTTTCAATTACCTTTCACACCCAAGAATCCAAACCCAAATTTTGCACCCTAAAATTCAAAATTCCCCCTCTCAAGGTTGCCATTTATGCAAAATAACGCGTGAAGACAAATCCAGCCAATATACATTTGTCAATTGAATCCCAGTGAGAGTGAGAACTATATAAATAGGTAAAGTTTGTGCCCTAAACTTGTATGCCCTAATTCAGGATTCAGAAATCACTAAGAGGTTTGAGAAAATGGATCTTTCTTTGAGTGTTGGAAGTGGATCTGGTGATGAGCAAAACACTGCTAGCTCTCAGCAGACTGGAAGGAAGTCTGCTCATCGCCACACACCTTTACAGATCCAGCGACTCGAAGAGTAAGATCAGATCAGATCACTCTTTGTTGTTATTTATTCTCAAACAATTTTTTTTTTCGGTTTGGTTTTGTTTATTGGTTAATTTGTTGATTATTTCTTCGATGTCTTTTTGAATACTTGTTTGATCTGAAAGGTTTTTCTTTGCGTCAACCAAAACCTAAGCCAACAGCGCAGATATCGGCAGTTTCAGATTTCCATTTTCTCATGAGATTTGGTTTGTGGTTGGTCTTGTGAGCAAAAAGATGGGATCACTGCTGGAAAAATTGTCTAATGATCTTTTTTCATATATGAGATATTATTATGTCATATATATATAAATATGAAATGATCTAGATCTAATACTAACAAATAATTAAATCACATTTATCTCGGAGTCCGAATGTTTGTTGCGACTGCCAGTGATAGATCTGGATTGATCATTTTGGATTGGATCTAAATGGTTCAAATTGTATATATATATATTTTTAAAAAGATTTTTATTTTATTTTTCACCCGGTATCGTGAGAAAGTTGGGGCATTACCCACTCAAACTAATCCAAACTCCCATTGTGTGGAATTCTTTTTACCAATGGCAGTTTCACAGGTACTTCGATGATGAAATGATCTAGATCTAATACGTACTAAAAAATAATATATTCTTACAAGATCCACATTAAATACTATGTCACATTTATCTCGCAGTCGGAATGTTGTGGCTACCAGTGATAGATCTAGATTGATCATTTTGGATTTAACCTAGATGATCCAACTTTTATATAATTTTTTGAAATATTTTTTATTCCTTCATCCAATATCTTGAGAAACCTAGGGTATTATCACTATTTGCTCAGACTAATTTGGGCCCTTGTTATGTGGAATTGTTTTTGCTATCAGTAGCCTCATGGGTACTTCAGAGATGCCTTGAACATTTTTGTGTAAAGCGGTTATATATCCCAAAAATCAAACCTAAGACCCTAAGATAAATTGATTTGACTCTATCGACCAGTCTAATCTAGCACCCGTTAGTTTAAAAATGATTATAATACCCTTCTATGTTAAAAGAAAAATAATAGAAGAAAAGTTTTCTAACTATAAATTTTTAGAAAAATGAATATAGATGGATTGGAGAAGCATATTTTGGTTTTCCAAAAAAATAAATTGTAAATTAATTTGGGCAGTCCAAAGCCCATTATTTATATCGTGCTATTGCATCAAACAAATTAATTTTTGTTGACATTAGTTTACTTTTATCAAGTTTAATTTATTTTCACATTCCGTTGAAATCAAATGTAGTCAGTTTATTTCTTCTGTATTGCAATATCAACACCACTATAAACGTTGCTTGATTATGTTTTTATTAATAGCAGCACAGCTCATTGGCTTACTGATTTCTTACACGACAAGTAATATTTACTTTGCTTACATGTGTTTATTGTTTAGAGATCTTCAATTTTATTCTTTCTATCGTTTAGTCTGATATTTAACATAATTTATTTTGTAAGATGAGACTTAACAATTAATACCTTGATATCGATTTATCATTTTTTCATGAGTTTGTGTCGTTTTTTTTTTTCAATGAGCTTGTGTCTAAACCATTCATTTGAGTCTACACAGCGACAAGTGAATCTGCAATTTCTGGTTTTGTTGTGTATTTGATTAATTCTCACTCCATCTTTATCTTAAACTAAATATAATTAATGGGATTTAGTTTAATCTTTCTTAATGTGGTTATGGAATGAAGGTTTTTCAAGGAATGTCCACACCCTGATGAGGAACAACGCAAGGATTTAGGCAAGGAGCTCGGGCTTGAACCCAAGCAAATCAAGTTCTGGTTTCAGAACAAGAGAACTCAAACCAAGGTACGTCTGATTAAGTTAATTTTGTATCTGGATTGATTAATTATATGGTTGATTGATTAATTGTTTTGTATGTATTATTAATTAATTTCAGACACAGAATGAACGAATTGATAACAATGTTCTTCGTGCTGAGAATGAAAGAATTCAAAATGAGAATTGTGCAATCAAAGAGGTTCTCAAGGGTGTGAACTGCCCTGCTTGTGGTGGCCCCGCTAATAATGGAGACGAAGAACACATGCTTAATATTCAAAAACTGCTCCAAGAGAATGCCTATCTCAAACAAGAGGCAAGTCAATATATTAAATAATTATTTATTATTATTTACTTGATTGATCAAAACCATAATTATATGAATTATTATGTTTGTTCTTCAAACGATCTTAATTGCCTTTTCACTTTACAAACTTCGGAATGATGAAATTGAAACAAAATTAATTAAACATTTTGGATAGTGAACTTGTGTTTTGGAGAGTCCATTTGATTACATAGTGTAACAATGACAGATAGATATTATAATTCAACCCTATGAAATAATATATGTTCATTTTTTTCTCTGAGAAAAACATTTGCTCTTTGAAAATTTTACATATATAGTATCTTGTACTATCTCTAGAATGATGAAACAAACAAATGAAAGACAGTCTATATTAATTAGTCCATATATAAATATAGTCTTAAATGTTTGAACCCTATTTGATGTTGGCTATTCGAAAAATAGTATAAAGCATTATATTATGATCCTAGAAAAACTGAAACTGAAATAAGATTGGAATTTTGAATAGTACAATATAAACTAAAATAATTCACGAGCCAGATACAAACTCTAGCAGGGAAAGACAAGACATATGATTCACTAGCTCGCTCCACATAAATGGATGCTTCTTTAGTTATTGTTTCTCTTTGATCAACAATGTTGTTAGAATTGAATGATTTTCAGCATGAGAAGGCAACAAGGCTTCTTGGGGACTATGTTGGGAAGCCTATGATAATCCAAAAGGATTTCCTAACCCTAGGAACCCCATCATCATCGTCATCAGAACAAGCAGCCATGTCCATGTCCATGTCTGATGATAACAGCAACATGTTGCCACCAAAACAAGGCACCATCAACAGCAAGGCAGTCATGTGGGAGACAGCTGTGAGCTCCATGGAAGAACTGGTGAGGCTTCTGCGTGTGAACGAGCCACTGTGGATCCGGTCTGAAGCTTCCGAAGATGTCGACGACAACAACGAAGGCTTCTTCCTCCCTAACCGCAGCAGCTACGAAAGGATCTTCCCTAGGGCTCATCATTTTGGCAAGAAGCTCAACAATGCTCGTGTTGAATGTTCCAAAGCTTCACGTGTTGTCAACATGGGCCCCATGCAACTGGTTGACATGTTTCTAGACGCTGTAAGCATTACTCAATCACTATTTCTTCTTTATATTTTATGTACATTTGATCACTCAAAGCTTAAATAACTTAATTTCACTGTCCAATAGAAGTATGGTTTCACTGTATATTTAGGGCTTGTTTGCTTTTCTTCTAACTTCTTGTTTTTCTAAACAAAAGAAAATGAAAATCTATTTGATTGTCATGGTACTTTAAAAACAGTTTTAGCATTAAAAAAATCAGCTGATATAATGATGATTGTTAGCGACTAGTGGTAATAGCTTATGATAGTAATTAATCCAGCTAATTGAAATTTTTGATAATTGAATATAGTATATTTTGAAAACAAGAAAAATAAAATAACGAAATCAACTTTAAGATGTTTCTATAATCCAACGCACCTATCCAAACAGGTTGTGATTAATTACTTGATTTGGTTATGATTTTTCTAGGATAAATGGGTTAATCTGTTCCCGACAATTGTTGGAAAAGCGCACACAGTAGAAGTACTCGAAGCTGGTTTGCCAGGGAGCAGGAATGGAGCCTTGCAGCTGGTAATGTACTGTGTGTTTTCAAGTTTATATCGATGATGTGGTGATGTTAATGTATGGGAATTTATATGCATGCATTCATGCATGTGTGTGTGTGTGTGTGTGAAGATGTATGAAGAGCTTCACATGCTGACGCCAATGGTGCCACCTCGTGAATTCGTGTTCCTTCGATACTGTTACCAAACGGACAAGGAAACATGGGTGATCGGAGATGTGTCGTTTGATTCTCTTGAAGACATTGGTGCTACATATTCTGCTTCTTGCTGGAAGCTTCCTTCTGGATGCATGATTCAAGAACTGCCCACTGGATTTTCCAAGGTTAGTGTATATGTGTGTGTACCTTGCCCTAATTACCCCTGTTTCTTGATACAAATCACATCCAATTTCCAGACACATTTCGTGAAAATTAAAGTGGTCTACTTTGTTTCGCAGAGTTTGTTTTTTAAATCTCAATATGAGATATTTGACTACTAGATTTTCTGTGTTTTGTATTTATTTGTCCTACACACAGATATTAGTTTAGTGGTGCTAAAAAAAGTCAAATTGTTAATAGATCTTATATGCTGGTATATTACCTGCTAATGGTAGTATTCATGTTTATTAATAAATTTTCAAACACGTGTCTTCTAAAGAAACTTGATGAAAAAAGGGATCTTGTAGAAATAAAAATAAAATGGATGTGAATACTATTAATATATATGTTATTATTTTACAATTTATCGACGTGGTTACTCATCTACTTTGATTTCAAACAGCACCATTTGACTTTTTTTTTCATAGAAAAGGAAAAGAAAAACTAATTTTAATATTTGTAGTGTCTGAAATATAATTCAAATGTGTGTGTGATCAATTACAAATATGTAAGATGCAATATATCATCTGATGCTGTTAGCTATATACATTAATTAGTGAATTATTTTTTTAGGAGTGATCATTAAAAAAAACAGCATATTAATTAACTTTTATGCTGTGTTAATTATTAGGTTACATGGGTGGAGCATGTGGAAGTGGAGCATCAAAGCCTTATCGTGCACATGCTGTATAGAAACCTTGTTTTCAGCAGCGTTGCTTATGGAGCTCAACGATGGGTCGTGGCCCTTCAGCGGATTTGCGAGAGAATTGCTTACACCATAAACCCTCACATTCCTCCTCTCGATGAAGCTCCGTTAGGTATGTGTTCATATATATTTATGTATGTACACATACATACACATCAAGTTATATATGAACCCTAGCTAGCAATGAAGACATGCATGTACCATGTATGTGGAGATGGTGCAGGGGCGAGCTCAGCAGAAGGAAGAAGGAGCTTAATGAAGTTGGGGCATCGAATGATAAGGAGCTTCTGTGGAGTGATAAGCATGACTGGCAGTGGAAGGGAAGATTTTACAGAGATAAGTGAAGATAATGAGATTGGTATCAGAGCTTTCATCCGAAAGAATCTCGACAGAGGTCAGCCTCAGGGCATGACTCTCACTGCTGCTGCTCCTATTTGGCTTCCTTTTCCTCCCAACCGTGTCTTCCACTTCCTCCGTGACGTCTCTCGCCGATACCAGGTCCTCTCATAGCTATGAAACTTTACAACTCACCTTAAGGTTATATATATATATATATATATTCTCTCGGGTGTTTATTGTAGAAAACTTTTAACTATTTCATGCATGTTTTAAAAAGTTAGTTTTTTTTTTTTTGCATTGTAAAAAAAATGTTGATATACTTTTATTTTTACCCTTAATTTTAAATGATAATATAATTACATTAAATACTTTCACACTAATAAAAAAAAAGGTGAAATTAAAAAAATTGATTTAATTATTAAAAGGTATTTTATATTTTGAATTAAAAATTACTTTTAAAAGGTATCATATAAATGGGACCGGAGGAGCATGTAATTTTAATTAATTTATTTTTTGTTTAATTAACATGAGACTTTTCAATACATTTTAATAAAAACAACGTATCAAACTCTATATTCTATGTCCTTTTGTATAGCAATCAACATAGAACAGTGTTACTATGTCAACTTTGCCTACATAGTTTAGAAAACAACCTTTTTAATTTAATTACAAGTTTGTCACAACTTCTTTTTCTACATCAATTTTAGGCCTAACTGACATAGATTAATTAGCGCATTAAATAATGTATTTTTTTTTTTGTGTGCAGTGTATCTTCAAATATATATAATCAAAATCTTGGATATCTTAAGTATATGTATTGCTAGGAGAGATTGGATAATTAAAAAGGAGTAGATGAGTACAACTACGAGATCATGTAACTCCATACACAGTGACATTTTCATTTTCAAACTTCATGAATACACACACACACACATGTATGTATGTATTTCAAATCTCTGTGTGACAAATGGGGCCCACCTTGACATGAATATGAATCACGCACCGTGTATTTTGATGGCAGTGGGATGTTCTTTGCCATGAAAATACTGAGAAAGAGATTGTACGCATCTCAACTGGAACTCATCCTGGAAACTACATATCAATTATTCAGGTGTATATATATATATATATATATATTTTCCACATCTTGTTCGCTATATATATTTTCTCTCTATGGTGTGTGTATATATATATTAATTATTCGTGTGTGTACTGTGGCAGACATACCATGAGAGTGACAGCGTGGCAATTCTTCAAGAAACTTGCATGGAGCCGATGGGATATGCGCTGGTGTACGCTCCAGTGGATAAGCTGACGATGAATGGTGTCATGAACGGGGAGGATTCGGCCACCGTGTCGATACTGCCGTCCGGTTTTGTGGTCGTGAAGGATGGCAGCGGTGGCGGAAGGGGTGAATGTGGTGGTGGTTCTTCTTCCGGCGGCGAAGGGTCCGTTCTGACAATGACCTTACAAATTCTGGTCAGCAACAGTGTGACAATGAGGAACATGAACATGGAGAGTGTGGCGACGGTGAACAACCTTGTGACGGCCACACTCAACAAGATCAAGTTTGCTCTGATGAGTATCGATTAGGGGGCTTTGATGATTAATGAATAATTATGCTCATTATCAAAATTTAAAAACTGCTTTCAATTTCGTAATTTGCATGGACTGATGGATGTGCCATGCAGACTTTGTCTCGTGTTTTGATGAGTTTGGTTTTCCGAGAATAAAATGAGCAGACAGCAGGGAAAAGGATTATTGTCTTTCAGTTTGATTGATGTGCGAAATGTTTTAGTTTTGGTTAAAACTAAAATGTAGCTTTAACTAAAAGATCTACTATCTTATACTACTTTGGTGATAAATGTGGTTTTGACCAAAAACGCAGAACCAAGCACCATACTCTAAAGCACGTACACACACACACACACGTGTCTGTGTAGATATAAAAAAATTTATATACTTAACCTTGTCTATTTAAAATATGTTTTTAATTAAATTAAGCGATATGCATATTTTACATATTATTTATTTTATAATAAACTCCTATTATTAATATAATTTTTTGTCCAATAAAGCTTATTATAATATTATTTATACCTGAAAATCCACTTATTTTGAATTGATCAGATAAAAATACATAAAGTAAATAAGGCTAAGTACCTCTAAATCTTGTCTTATATATTTTATCTCCTTTTCTAATGTCTTGAATCATAAGAAAATATATTTTTTAAATTAAATAAGTTATACTATTGACAAAAATATTCATAAAAACATTCAAATATTAAGAATAAGACAGAACAAGACTGTCTGGGCTCCAACTGTGTTGTAGAAATTTTCAATAGGCTATACTGATGTTTGATTTTCTTTATTGGAAACGATTTTGGCGTTTGTTATTTGTGTACCGTCTTGGGTTATTACCGTGTTGCGAAACCAAGGGGATTGCAAGAATCGTGGCCTGTTTAGTGAGATGGTCTGGATTCTCTGCTCATAAAAGTGAATTGATTTTATGAGTGATAAAACGATAAGTAATTTCTCTGAATGCATAGATTTGATTTAAGTTACAAATATTGGTTGTGTTTATCACTCTTTCAAACTTCTAGAAAACTAGATTCTTGGACAGTGGCTAAGTCATGATCAGGATCTTGTGATTCAGTTGATTGCAAGTAGAAATGGCTCAGCTGGCGTTCAGAAGAGGGCGCTCATAGTGGTGGAAAACAGTCGGGTATAGTTTATATGGGTTTAAGCTCTAAAGCCCAGTTTCTTTCTCTAAAATTTCTCATTTTTTAAGCCTAATTTTTTTTTTTAAGGTTCAAAGCCAAGCTTGTAACCTGATTTTTAAAAAATTAAAATAAAATTATAATATTTGTGAAGAAAACAATATCTGTATTTTTTCATTGAATATAGAAATAACAAATTGAATCAAGCTTGCTACCACGACTATCGTCCTCCCTCATTACATTTATTTCCCTCTCCGACAACAAACCAAATTATCAGAATAATCCACAAATCAAATCCACAATTTAAAAACAAAAAAAAAAACACCAGAATCGAAAAAGGAAAACAAATTTTAATAAGGACGATGACCATAAGAAGGGATCACCATTCACAATCATAAAAGAGATCAGTGTTGAAGTGAGACATAGTGAGGAGAGATGAGTGGACTTGCCGAGACAGTCTGCAATGACCCCAAAAATTTGAGTAAGAATTAAAATTTATGATAAAGTATTTTAAGAGTAATTATATTAATTTCAAAATATTTATCAAGAAAGATTGGTGGTTTAGTTGAAACTTTTCTTGCAATTCATAATGAGATTTTGCGTTCAAATCCTTGTGGTGACAAGGAAGGAATTTTATTTTAATATGATTCAGCATTGAGAAGAAAATTACTAAAATACGCCATAAAAGAAAAAAAAAGAAACAAACAAAACACACAAATCACAAATATATATATATATATATATATATAAGGACAGATCACAAAACACATCTTCTGGATGTGTATATTTTCACTGTACGTTTTTATTGTTTAATGCGTGTGTAACCGAAGCATTAACCGGTGATTGTGCTATATATAGCCCTTGGGTGCTGACAGAAAACGGTGCCAGCCTCTTGAATTTTTGAGGCAATTCTCTCCTGCCTATGCCTTCTACTCTTGTATTCGTCTGTTCGCCTGTGTTGCTTTTTAGTTTCTGTTATTCTGTTCCCTTGCTCCGCTGCAGGAAGTGCTTATTTAATCTTGGAGAACTACTGGTCCGTTGTTCCGGTGTGCCGGAATAGTTCTTAAGGACAGTGTCTTTTCGGGCACGACTCAAGCAGTTTGTACTTTGCTGTTCACGTTTACCGCCGGTGCCGCCAACAGGTAATAGATGTGCGGACTGGCTTGCCCATCAAGCTTCGAACGACAACAACAACATCCTCATTTTTTAAGACCCTCCGCCAAATTATAGCACTCTTATACGTTTTGATCTCAACTAGTTTTGCACAGTTTTTCTGTGGCCTTGTATTCAAAAAAAAAAAAATTATGTAAGCTCAGAATATCTTCTCTCTCTTTTGCTACATTTGTGTGAATCTAGCTAAGGGGCTTTCGATTTTTTTCCCCTTTTTGTAATTCACTGTGATGTTTGGGGGTGTGAGATTGAAGCCTTTCCGTGTGCAACTGGGCGTTCAAAGAGGGAATGGAAAATTGCTGAATTTCTTTTATTAATTCTTATAGTGGTTTCTATTGAGTGTTATAATAAATAGAATGGAGATTAGATGTTGTTTATTCATGATTTTTGCCCTTCTATACTTCAACGTTGTCATCATCAATTATGCATGCCTTTGCAACATTTTGTCGGCTGATATGGAGATTGTGAAATTCCATGAAAATACTAATTTCCAATTGGTATGCCAGTAAAAAAAATAAAAAAAATTTACTTGGTCATGGAGATGTTATGAATACTACTGTGCTTCCACTTTTTCAGTCACTCTGATGTATATGGGTTGGGAAGGAAATCTCAGTTACATTGGAAGGGAAGAAAGATGAGAAAACAAATCTTCTAAAACTTCTTAGTTGAATTGAAAAAAAAATAAAAGAAAAGAAAAGATACGATTATGCCACAACATTTTTCTAGCACACTAGTACAGAATTACACATATTTGATGCATATATATTTGACGGTTATTGAAAAATCCGTTGAATAAGGAAAGGCGATAACTGGAAAAAATAATATTTGACGATTTCAACAAAAACTGTCAAATATATGAATCAATATATTTGATGGTTATATATAAAACCGTTAAACTTAAAATATAATATTTAAATTAGGAAATTTTTTAAAAATTTTTTACATAAGTTTGACGATTAAACCTGATAACCGTCAAACTTATGCCATTTAAAATTGCCTCCGCCTTACTCATATCACGCGTTGCTCTGCAGAGACCAGACATGCCTGGAAATGTTCAATCTCTCTGAAATTTCTGCTCCACCCAAATGTCTCTGCTACTTTGACTCATCTGGAAGCATTTATTTTTGAAGAACCCATTGTTTATCGTTGTGCCCTAGCTTCTCTGAGCATAGAATCGCGTCCATAATCAGAGCTTGGTGAAGAATTAGAACCTTTGCAAGCGATCGGGCTGTTGCTCTGTGAAGAATCAAAGTATTCTTACGGTCTTGCTCTGTCAAGTTGCTGGAATCCATTGAAGCTATGCTGTTCTGCAATTTGCTGCATTGACCGAAGAAATTTTGAGGTATGTTTAAGCTATTCATTCTCTTTTTTTGTTCAAATGCTGTTTGAATTGGTGACTGTGGTAGCTGTGGTCTGTGATTGATACTTATACTGGATTGCTTGCTTTACATTGATCATTTTCTACTGTGGCTGGGTGCTCAATGAAAGTGCTTTGATGTTGTTTGCTTTTCTTTCCATGGATGCATGCAAGGTGCTCGACAGAATGCCTCTAAGAAATTGAAAATCACCCAAGCAGTACTCTTAGCCAAAAAACTTAGATTGGAATATTAATTATTATACCTAATTAGAGCAACCCTTTTTACAAATTAATAATGCAAAAATATGCTGAATGAAGATTCTCAAGTGTTATTGCCTCAATTTCTCAGTCACACAAATATAACAGGCAATTAATCACCAAAAATAGTCAACAAGAAAGAAAAGTGCCTGAATAGTATAGTAAAAAAGAAGAATATTGCTTAAGGAGGACGAAGGAGGAAATACAAAAGGGAAGGGACTATAAAATTCTTCTCTACCTTCTACCATTGCTTTACTCCTTCATATACCCAATTCCTTTCCATTAAGCCCATTTCTTATGAGCCTAAACGTAGCCATTGACCCATTAGTTGACAACTCATAACCCAACCCAAGTACTTAGGCTAATCCGTTACAATTTATAATTTATAGTTGGCATAAATGAGGAAGAAAGTTAGAAATATATAATATCTAATTATTTATATATATAGTATTGAGAAAAAGGTTTAGAACTTGGGGGACTTTTAAGTAATGGTCAACCATAGGGCAAAATGATTTATGATTATCTCGGCATCTAAAGGCATAAAGTGTATGTAAACAAAATAATTATTTTCAAGAAATTTCACACGGAATATGGCCTATATATCTATGAACCTAGCCTGTATATATATATATATATCAAAATTAACATTTATTTAGAGCATCTCTTTCAAGGCATATCTATGAGTGTAGTTTATGTATCTACTGTTATTAGAATCCAAAGATGAGATATCATTATTTGGTAGTTCTTTAATTCCTATGTCAAGATAAAAATCAAGATTCATTGAAAAGAAGAAAAAAAAATAGAGAGGATACTGTTCTTGAAGTATTCCATTAGGCATAGATATATTTTGATTTACTGCTATTGGAATCCAAAAATATAGTAGAAAAATGCATGCTTGTGCACATGACACTAGCTAGATGTTTGGCATTTTTTTGGCTTAACCATCGACTAAGAGAATAAAAATATTTCACATTTATTTTTTTAGTTAACATTACAGAAATTGACTTGTTGCTGTTGAATTAAGTTTGATTAAACTATACAGGGATTGAATTTAATTCGAAGAGAGGATAAAATGCCCAAGAAACTTC